AAATAGATTTTCTATGCATGTTCTAAAATTCAATGCTATAAAATCAGAGATTCAAAATTGAAAATATTCACATCAAATAATTATCTTTGTATGGAGAGCAAACACTACTAGGCTATGTAAAATCAGCAAAATGTTAATATTCATGATTGCAGACTTAACACATCTGACACTTCAACATCTGAATTATTTCAATTTTGATAAAACACTGAAATGTAAATAGTAGGTTTTATTTTTAATCAATACAATATTTACACATTGACTGTAATGTAAAGACTGAGGGTACAGTAATGTGACTGAGGAAAGAAAAACTAAAGAAAAGGAAGAGGAACAATTGTCGGGGGAAAAAATCCTTAATGATGAGGTGTACAGAGCAGCACTATCTAACTGTGGCCACTTAATAACTTAGGACATTACATGAAAATAGGAAAAAAGGAGATTTAAGAAAATGAAAAAGGAAAGGAGAGGAGGTAAAGAATACACGAACAGGACATAGAAAAGAATTAAAAGGAAATTAAGAGAATCAGATTGGGAGAGGAACTGAGCAGAAAGCAATAGAATGAAATTAATTTAATGACAAACAGAAAATGACAGGGGCATAGAAAATGGCAGGAAAGGAAAGAAGCAAATCTCATGAAAATAAACTACTAGAATGTAACACTAAGCAATTTCAAAATAACACCATATGTATATTTCTTATTATAATGATAAACTTATTGATCATTGCAAAATTTACATTGTGGAGGATTTTGTGTTTGTATTATTTTTAGCTAGATATATTGCAGCTGATAAAGGGACACATATAATGTATAACTTAGATTTATCTGAACCAATTATTAGTTTGTCAAGTCTGTTGGGACCACCCATGCACTTTGTAGTAACAGTCAAATAAAGTGAGATTACCATGGAAGAGAAAGCAGACTGCTGTCCCAGCAGCTGGTACACACACAGTGCGCACTCCTTCCCACAGTCCGCTCCGACTACCAGTGACACGCAGGCTCCCACGACTAACATCCACATGCAGCTGCTCTGTACGGGGGCAGCCATGGACTGAGGGCACAGAGAGACAGCAGAGATATTACAGCAAGTTCAAAGACTCTCAGACATTTTAGAATTAAATAAATACGAAACTGACTTTTTAGAATTTAAAGGTAAGAACCTAGATATTACAATTTAGTCCATTACTATTGTCGCCATTATTATTACTACTAAACCTCCATATAACACAACTAGCAGCATCCTAGTGCAACTAATGATGCTGACAATTAAGATATGAGATATGCGTAAATAAAAGAGTAAACATGAATGTTCTGCTGTTTGTGAACGACGATAGTGACAGCGAATAACTGTAGCGTTAGGAGTTGCAGTTCGAGAATGAAAAAGTTTTGTAATCTTACCTCTGTGTTGTTTTAAACGATGCTTTAGTCGTTCTACGCGTTCCTTGTCCGCGCTCCCTCGGGGGTCCCGGCGAAGTACGTGGTGACTGGTTCTGGCGCTTGCAGCAAATATATGTGCGCGCGGCTCACTTTGTGGCACGTTCTGGGCAGAGCGGCCACGGTTCAGCCAATCCGTAAAAGCGCGCACACACACAAGGCGCAATCTCCTGTGACTGTCTGCGGTTCCACTGGACCGCTTCGTGCAGGGTGTCACCGGTTAGAGGAAAAAACAACTGGCGGGCTGACTTCTAAGTGCTCGGTGTGGCCACGGGCTCGTTTAAGTAGTTTGTGTGGCTTGCGTCACCGGGGAAATGGGGGAGGGTGATTAGGTGACGTGACAACCTCCCATCTATCTTTACGCACACACGCGCGCGCTCGTAGTCTGTCACACATCAGCTCTGTCAAATCATCTGTTATACTGCTTCTCGGGAAGCTTTGATGTAGATAATAAATGGCAGTGTACCATATAAGCTTCTCCTTGGGAATAATGTCTCACTTTAACACTGTGTGTGTGTGTGCGTGCGTGCGTGCGTGCGTGCGCGCGCGTGTGTGTCCCTTAACAAACATGTATCAATACAAATCCTACATGATGATCTAGGGCCAGAGGACTCAGCTTGCAGGGCTTGAGGCATTGTGCCACAGTGATCTAAGACAGTAAGCTACAGATGACTGTTCATTTAATAAAAATCTAATATGCTCCAGAGCCTGGTTTCCTGACAATAGCCCATCATAATATTTTTTATTATCATGATTTACTGTTTGATCAGAGATGGGAAAATCATTCATGTGTTTTATAACTTTTATAGCGCAGAAGAACTGAGGGGCAGCCTTTCCGCACCGCAACTGCACCCATTGTGGCCCAGGCATAAATTATAGCATTTCGCCTGCCTTCTCATTCACAGTGTCTCTGAGGCCTCTCACTCGAACACCAATTCATCATTATGAATGATTATTATGATGATGATCACAACGGTGGTGCCCCCTCCCGCACTTGGTGTCCTACACGCGTGATGCTTGTGGTGGGAGCACCGGCACTGGCTCTCTGCCTCCTGAAACCACTTTTTACAGACTTACTGGGACATCCTGCAAATATTACAATAATCAACTCTACAGGTAACAAATGCATAGACTAGTTTTTTAGCATCCTTTTAAGAAAGAATGTTTCTAGTTTTATAATGTTGTCTAGGTGGAAGGAGGGTTGACATTTTTTTTTAGTGAGTCAAAGGATAAGTCATAGTCATAAGCTGCTTTCAGACATGAACTCCAGAAAATATGGATTTCATCTATGAACAATGCTGTAGGAGATTCTCTGAACAGACCATTTCACAACAATACAGAAATCTCTGGAGCATTCACATGAGGGGCGGTGCAGCATGCAGAGGCAGGGTGTAGCATATAAATTCTATGCTGCAGGTCACATTATTGTTCACATTACATAAACTCTGGTGTTGATGCTTATCACCGAAAGCTCTCTTGACATCTAGTGTCTGGCACCGCTTTTTTATCCTGATATTTGTTCTCTTTTAGTTTCTCTCTCTTTTAGATCCCCTGCTGTTTTCTCTCATGGGCTCACTTGAAAATTCCCACATTTTACTAGGGGGCTGGCAGTAGAAACTCTGTAGGAAGTCCGGAGTCTCTGACTCGAAAATTTGCATTCTCACTTACAGCCCCTCTGCAGAATGTAAGAGATTATCTAGAGTTCAGTGCATGTCTGAATGGAGCTAAGAACTCCAAGGTTTCTATAGTAGAAATGGAGGCTAAAGAAATGTCATCTAAAAGATGAGAAACAAAATGATGAGATAATGATTCGAGCCAAGTACAGTAAATTCCTTTTTGTCTGAATTCAGAAGGAAACAATTATAGGTCATGCAGGTTTTTATGTCTTAAAGACACTGCTGAACTACCTTACTAAACTTTTAACTACCTGATAAGATTAATCTGACTTCTGCTCTGTGAATGCAAATATGTCCTGGGTTTCTTTGCAAACAGAAATTATGTTTTTGCGTATAGCACACAGGTTAAAAAACCTCACAGTGTTATCATAATTTAGCATTCAAAGGTTACCATAATCAGTATTTCCATCCATCTATCCATCCATCCATCTATCCAACCATCCAAGGACTTCATTTCACTCTCAAAAAGAGTACCTGGAGGTGACAGGTGGATGAACTGGGAGCCAATCAGTCTTATCAATACACAAGAAACTGACATGGTTATAGATGTAGACGGAACTCCCAATGTTTGCCTATGCACAGATCCTGAAATATATTTCAGCTACAGCTCTGACCAAGTTTGGCTTGTTTAAGATTTTGGACCAGGGATCCATGGGGTGTATGTTTTTTGTGATTATGGTGGCAAGTGTGTCCAACACTTTACATTCCCTTTACAGTTTCATTTGCATGTAGTTAGCATTAGTAATTTGCACCATTTGTTATAGATGTGTCAGGTAAGGCTGGTGGATGCTGCACAGGTGAAGAGGACCCAAGTCCACACAAGCTAGTGCAGAGAAAGAAATTCAGAGGACTGGGCTTACAGAAAGAAGGAAAGGTAGACAGGTTACACAGAGGTAGAATTTGGATGCACTTGGGAACATAAGCAGACAATCTGTTATGGAGCTGCTGTGGACTGGGATGACCAGGTGAGCAGGTGAGTGAGATAGGGAGGATAATATTACATTACAGCTGTTGAGCCAGTCCTAACACATGGAGAGGAAAACCAACACAGTGAAAAATGTGTACTGCTCATCTAAAACTACACAAAAATGTTTAGGTATGAATGTTAAATTGTGTTTTTACTAAATAAATCTTAAAATTATGAAAGCAATAAATAGCAATCTGCTCAGTCTCTCAGTATGATTTCAAACAAACAAGCTGACCCTGATATTTGCAGGAAATAAGTAAGTATGACAGTGAGAGAAATAAACTGTCTATTCATCATGAAAAAAAGTTACATCATGTTTTTGGAGTTTTCAAAAATGTTTCTAAATCTTTTGGAATTCTTAGAAAAATCAGTGGTTTTGTAACAAATTGGTAGAATATCATAATTTATCCAATTGGTGTTTATTATCATTGTAGTATAGCTTAATTTATCCATATCTATCAAATTGCATTATCTTAAGGGCATATCTGTACAAAATAATGCTGCTGCAGAAAAGATTTATTGGATTAGCAACTTTTACCATAGCTTTTTCACCAAACGCACCACTCTTTTTTAATATGCTGTTTCGGACTATTTTTGACATAAATGTATTTCAATTCCATACATTTGCTTTCAAAGTGAAATATATAAACTCCCATAACCTTTGTTTTAGATTGAATTTTGGCAACAATTAACAACTCCATAATCAAACT